CTATCTACTAGGAATTTTTTTTTTTGAGACACCTCATGAAGATGAACATAGAAAGCAGATGCTACACTGAATTTCACCTGTTTGTTTTCAAATGTTTCTTCTGGCATAAAATCCCAAGAGGATTTTTTTTTTGTTAAACCATGAACTTTAAAGTGAAGAATGTTGCAAACATTGCATAGAGGAATATTACACATTATCCTTCTGATATAAAGGCCATGCACTGTAATGTGACACAGAAACAAAAAGGTAGATACCTAAATTTTACTTTTCTCTTTCATCCTCATGTATTTACCTTTAGTTCCTACACCTGAGGAACATTAATGCTCAAAACCTGAGACACTCCTGCTTTCAGGAGTTGAATTCTTAACATCTTTTGCTATAGATCTGTACAAGGAGATTGGTTGGAAATAGTTCTGATTAACTATCTAATTCTCTTTGTTGAATATTTAAAAACAAATACTCTAATATCTAATAGTCTATAAGAATGTCCATCCTTTGTATGAGAAGAGATGCAAGTAATGCAACGCTGTAAAGCAAGTTCATCTTTCTCCAGAATACTGGAGATGGGAATTACCCAGTAGTGAGTGTAGCTCTTGTAGGATGCTTCCCTGCACTCTAAGGACGTCTGACCGCATGGAATCTGGTTTCCTTCATTAAAACTGGAATGAAAGGAGTGTGTGAAATAGGGAGATGAAGTTATTTCTGCATGATGGGATAAGTACAGATGGGGATGCGGAGTTGTTTCTAAATCTGAAAGAGCATTTTAATGCCACCAGTATTACAGATACTGCTCTACTAATACAGTCAACCTATGCAGTAGCATTTAATGAGGCCACAGTTTTCAGTTTTTATTTCTGTGGTAGAACTGCAGTGTAAATCCTACCTACTTATTTCTGATATGTTCAGCTGCCAAGTGGTGAATCAGATGGAGGAACAGATTCAGCTGGAAAGAAGAAAATGATGAAGTTAACTGTCAGACTGATTAGTTCCCTCATTGAATTAATCATTCAGCCACTAATTCCGATGCAGGGGTGGGAAGGACCAAACTGTGACTAGGAGCAGTGATACTGTAACTGCTACACAGAAGAAAATTGGTGCTAAACTGGTGGGTGAGCTGTGACTTTAACAGCATAGTAGTAATGTTGTAGAGCAACCCTACTGACAAACCACAGTGCCCAAGTGAATAGCTGGTTCAGTTTTGGTTTCAGTTGGCCTGCCACTGCAAAGTAACTCTGTGATTGAAGCACGTAAAATATACTGTAGGGATACTAGAGTGGCATGAGATCAGTTTAGTATAGCTCATTTGGCTTTAAGTGTTGATGCTTCTAAAACTGGTGGGACCTAGGAAAGGAGGAAGTTAGTAGGTAAAGCTAGACCAAGGGAGGCATGGAGTACAGTCTATGTAATTAAGCCTGCAAAAAAGGCAGGGGCTGTTCAAGGACAGTGTCAGTTTGGTGTGGTTAAACAATCTGCCTGGGAAATGATGAGCTTTAGACTCATTTATGACTAATTCAGCATTTTCAATGAGCTGATGTAATAATGTGCATTGGGGACAAAATCAGTGAAACCTGTTTCATTCTCTTAACTAGGGCTGCAAAAGAATAAGGAATTAAATTTGGCAGAACTTATTCAAGGCAGCTGTTAAGGTGCAGATCATTCCAGATTACTCTGAGGCATCCAGCAGGTGTGACAGGAGGGCAGCTTGGCTGTCAGGGAACTCCTCTCTGAGCTCAGATATGAAGAGGGGGTGGCATGAAAAGTGGAATTGGGTGTGGGTGCCCAAGGTGAATGTAGGTGCTTTTCCAGGTTATGCAGGAATGGAACTGAAAGAAGCCAAAGCTTGACTGGAGTTAAAACTGCAAAAGGACGTGAGAACGATCAGGGGTTTTGTGTAGGTACACTGGCAAGAAAAGGCAAAGCAAGAAAAGTGTGTGTGATAGAGGGTGGTGGAAGAATAAAGTTCAAGAGTAACTGTTTTTGACAGTACTCACTGAAGAAATTAGTTAAACAGATCATTTTATGGATTGAATTGCTCCACTACAGAAGGTGGGTGATAGCTGCATTCAGAGGGCAGTATAGTGAACTCTACTATTAGTTATTTTAAAACTAGAGAAAGTTCTTGAAAATATTGACAACTGAGCTTCAAGTTTTTATTTTTCTGTCCTTCAGTGAAAACTTGATAGCCATTCTTTCAGCTGAAGCTGATACTTAAAGTCCTGCTAATTGAGTATCCATGTGTGTGGGTTACCTAAGTAGGACATAAGATCAATGTGTTGTAAAAATCTTCTTTCGTGCTGTCTTGTTTAGTAGTTTGAGATTGACAGAGAGGCTTTTATATACCTGTTATCAGATTTTAATAGAGGGGATTAAAGTAGATACCTGCTAGCTGCTGGTTCTGTTCCATGTGTTGAACTGTTTTTAATTTTATTGGATAGCTGGTGCTGTAGGTCTTTGATCTGCAAAGAACGTTGTTACTGATGTGGTTTATACCAGACTTAGCCTTAAATGTCTGACTAAGTAAACTCAATGTATTCTGGAAGGTCATTAAAGAGGTGAATCGTGTCTTTCCTTTTGCGAGGGCAAATTCTTTTCTGAGGATTTGCACAATTGTTAGTGAATTTGTAGGTTCACTCTCGAAAGTGAAAATAAGTAATCATCCTCTTTCAGGAGACATGTGGCCTTTGACTGAAGATATATTTTGTATTGAAGTTGATGATTCTTTGATTCTGACTTGATTATGTCTCCTTCAAAGTACGCTCATAACTATTAACCTTTTTGCTGCTCTGTTAGACTCTAGAAGATGACAAAAGTATATAAAACTTCCTGGGAGAATTGTTCAGTCACTTCTTGTCTAATATGCAGAAGATTTGTTTCCTGTGGGCATAAAGGAAAAATCTTGCTGCTCTTTGGCAATTCATGTGGGTTCTGACAGTGTGCGATGCAGAGTATGGTCTTGTTCAAAGCAAGCCTTTAGCAGCTATTTAGTATGGTCTTAGTTTCAGCCTACCGAAATATTGGTTACTTTGCTGTCTCAGAGGTCAGTATTGAGAATCGTCACCTGATAAGATTGCTGATACCCAAGTTCATAACGTTCAGTTATGTCTTTGGCCAGTTTTAGAAAACTTGACATAAAGAGAACTCTTTTCTTTTAATCTTTGCTTCCTGTACTGTTTCTTGCCTCAGTCTGTTACAGGGCTTGAGAGACCACTTCGTCTCATTCTGTTGAAATTATTAACCACACCTTCACCAGAGCTGCCTTATTTGTTTATTTGTGAGAGGAGGTTCAAATCTTGACCTTATGCTTAGATTTTCCTGTATTGTATGAAGATGTGAATTGATGTTTCGAGCTTGTTGCTATAGCTACAATATAGAATTTCTTTCCTAATGTGAATTCTTGAATTCTCTAGTAGTCCACTTTTTAGATGTCACAGTATAGAGAAAATGTGTTTCCTATACAAAATGTGATCTGTCTTGGCTGTCCAGTCTGTCAAAACTGAGAACCCAACTGCCCATGTAAGTCAGCATCTGTCCCTGGCTTAGCTGAACAGAATACTTAAAAGTGGAAGAGCAAGGGAATCCAAGTTGGAGTGCTCATTCAGTGAAGACAAAAATCGACACCCGCAGGATTGTATATCCTAAACTTAAAAGAGAACAGCAGCTTGTTTAGATAATCTTTGACAACCTTATCTATGGTGTTAGATGTGTTTCACATCACTGTCTAACCAAGTAAAAGGCTTGTTGTTGCAGCTGTGGTAACTACTGTCTCTGGCACCAGTGTGTTACCAGTTTGGATTGTGAGGCTTCAAGCAGTTTTCTGACTTTCGCTTTTTATAGGTGATTTTATATGCAACTTGTATCTTGGAGACTTAAGTGTATAAATGGCAGCTGTTGTAGATAATGTTTGAAACTTTATACCTTTAATTGAAGTTCTATTAGAAGTCTGTATTTCCATGCCTAAAGGCACTTTCTCTTGCAAAAGTGTAGCTGTAAGGGTATTGTAAGTTTTATAACAGCTCACCTTTAATCTGAATATTTTGTGTGCAGGTTTAAGGTTTGGAGGTTTATTATTTGACCAGTAAAATGTCCACTGAAACTGCTTAGTCTTCCAGCATGAAACTCTCTCTGAAAAAGAACTTATAGTTTCCTAGATAGAGCTATAGACCAGTGTTCTCCAAACCTTTTTGATCATGCACCCCCATCAGTAAAAAAAAATTAAGCATGCACCACCAATATCTGTATATTTTACAGAGGCTTTTCACACCCATGAAACAACTGGATATTTGACTTTGTTTATTGCAGAACCTAGCAGTACTTGCTTTTATTTGTAAATTACCAGATAACTTTGTTTTGTTAATTGGGGCTAAAATGTTCTGATGTTTGACTTTGAATGCTGTTGATATATTTTCTCAGTGCCAGTATTCAAATCCACATAGTCTGTGTTTGGGACATCTTTGTTTGCAGACTTTTTTCTAGGTACTCCCCTATAAACAAACTTTCATCACCTTTAAGGGAAACTTGGAGAACTTGGTGTTTGGTTGGGTTTGGTTTTTTTTTGCTTCCAAAAGTTTATTGTGTAGCAGAAATTTATTCCACAGCCAGCTTAGGAGAGAACAGAAAAAAAAAAAAATCTTAGTGTAAGCCAATGAGCTAAATAATATTTATAAGCTTAAGGAAGGGGAGCTTTGTTGGTCTGTCTCAATCTTAAGATATGATGATTTAAAATTCCTTTTTGAATGTGAACTTTGTGGCTTTAGCGTGTGCTGTCCCAGGAGTGAGCTAGCTTGTCCTTCTCCCTTACCCCCTTATTTACCATGTCTTAGCGTGTGTCAGACAGTACAGGAATCCTTAGAGCTTGTTTTGGGGTAGTGATTGTGTGGCTCTTAAATGACTGGGTTTCTAAACTTACGCATCCTAATCCTTACATATCTGCAAACATCGTGTGTAATTTAAATGCCAGTTGGTTTTGAATTTCTGGGAAGTGGCAAGATGTGAACAAGACTATGGGTAGAGCTTACTTCCTAGATAAGGTAGGTACACACTGCTTCCTTAGGCGCTTTTCAGACCAGTCTGGCTGTTTGTATGCTGTCAGTGTACTGTGATCTGGATGATTTTTTTTTATTGGAACACAGGTGTTAACATATCCTCACCAACGTTTTGCACTGAAATTCAGCAATGGAAAAGCGAAGGTACATCACAATACTGTTTACCAGTAAAGTTGTCGTAGGTAAAAAGTTAGGCCTTCAGTCATACTGGAATTTTATGTGTTAAACTGTTGTAGTTAAAGTGTTGATAGTCCACTTAGCTAAAGCTGTAACGGGCTTTGTTTAGAAGTACAATTTGTTACTGTTCTGAAAATCATAGATAAAAGTAAAGCTATCTTTTTTTCCTGATGTCTAGCATGCTTCAGAAGCCGTAGTCATACTTCAGTCTCAGTAACAGCAGCTGCAGAGGTGTGTTTTATTCTGCTGCTGGGTGCTACTTCATGCTCCTTTGAAGCCAGAACCTTCAATAGCGTGAGAACCAGTTCCTGACCTCTGAGATGACAGAGGTTAAACACTGTTGTGTTGCTTTGACTTGCAGCACAGTACATTATGAGAAGAATTGAATATTGTGTTGATAGCAGAGGAGAATTCTGAGATTGTCTTGTTATTTGGCCAGTGGTATAAAACTCTGGTAATACAGAACATCAAATGCAGAGTGAGATTTTCTTCTGACCGTGTCCTCTTCTGTTCTTACAAGGGAAGTGATGTTTGGAAGATACATGTCAAGCCCTCTATTCTGTGAACTTTCTAGATACTTGGGGCAGGAGTGAGGGAACTGCAGGGGCTCATTAGAGAACGATGAGTTGGTGTTGCAGCTGAAATTATTTTGATTGTTTTTCTGTGAAAATGCAGGACTGGAGGTATGATGCTAAATTTAACCACTCCCTAAAATACTAACACTTGCAGGTATGAAAGAGTCACTTACCACATAGCTTGTCGGTATTTGGTTTGCAGTAACTTCCTATCATTACTGAAGTGCAGCAAATCAGTTTACCCTTAGTTGCACAACCCAAGGTGAAGAAACAAAGCTGATTAGGCACTCACTGAATTAAATTTTGTTTACGCCTTAAGAGATGTCTCAATCCACTTGTACAAGTGGGGATTAGAATACAACTTCCTGTGCCCTGATTCGGTTGACTGTCTTCAAACTTTACTGTGTCAGGTAGAATTGGCAGGTGATGTTTATAAAGCAGAATGGACAGTTTCATAATTGGGATTTAAGTTACGGATGGCCTGTGCTCACTAGTAGTTATGATGTTGAGTAATTTCTATGCATCTGGTTTCTCAGTCTGCAAAACTTCAGTATGTGTAGAAGCAGGTAAAGTAACTTAGCCAGATAACTAGAACCGGTTTAGGGGAAGGAGACTCAAGATGAACCAATGTAAGCGTTTTTTACAAGCTCTAATGACTTTTTAAAGAATCTTTGTCAGAGAACTTACCTTGTGCACGTGGGTACTTGCTACACTTGAGATGCAGTGTGGAATTTTCATTTTCCTTGGGCAATTACTTGAATATTTAGATGAAACATTCTTCAGCATGTTTGAAGTGTCGCATTTTTTTTCCAAGCTGCTTGGTGTGTTAACTCTAAAATTTTGCTGATTAGATTATGTTTATATTGAAGGGTGAAGATGTCAACCGGACACTTGAAGGTGGGAGGAAGCCTCTGCACTACGCAGCAGACTGTGGACAGCTTGAGATTCTGGAATTTCTGCTATTGAAAGGAGCTGATATTAATGTATGTACATCAATTTGCAAACAGGTGTTAGGGTGGTAGGCTCTTCCCCCCTGCCACACACACAGAAGGGCTTGGTATAAGTGTGTAAATGGTTGCTGAAAGACTTAGATCAAACTAAACAACTTGATGCCTTTAAAAAATACTTGAGAGGTGGTGTCCTGGAGGTTGGGAGCTTGAAATTATGTTTATTAAATGTTTTTATTATTTTTGGACACACTAGGAGAAGTTGATTGTAGCTATAAAAAGTTAAATTTAGTTTGACAATGATTAGAAACATATATCCAGTAATGACATCTAAAGAAAGTTTGCGTGACATACATATTAAATTAGTTGGGAGGGACTTCAGAAGACAGTGCAATGCATCCTTGGCCAGGGGATCATCATGTCTGTTTAAATTGGTGTGCTTCCCTCTGTTTTTGGAGACATTCTTACTTGTACAACCTCAGTCATTTTGCTGTAGCTTGAAATGCATGCGGCTTTGTTGTGAAAACACTTGGCTGGGCTGTATTGGCACTTCAAAATAGTGTAGTTCTCCACAAAGTGAAGTTTCTAAATACTTTAACCACAGACTTCAAATGCTGTGCTTTAGAATACTCGTCTGAAAATTAATGTAAGACATAGCTCTAGTCCTTAACAAAATGGCTTGAATTTTTTCCTTGGTGTCTGGAAGGATGAGGTCTAACTGGAGAGGAGATAAAAATGGAGGAAAAAATAAGATGATTTCAGTTGCTTTATTTCTTATTCTTTCTGGGACTATAGTTTCTAGAGGAGAGCACAGCCGAAACAATGTTTCAGCCAAAACAGGTTTCTGAAGTCAGGCTGGCTGAGAAATGGGAGAATTAGGAGTACTGTTTTTAAGTTGGGCAAAACTTGTCAGCTAAAACCACACAATTTCTGTCATTGGCCTACAAAAATAGACAAACTTTAGGATACCTAGAAGTCTTAAGGAAGAAATATCTTGCTGTTACCTGTTTTTTTTTTAAAAAAATTAATTTTTAAAAAGAAGAATAAAAAATTCTGAAGGAGTGCATTTCTGGGTAATATTCTTAAATCCTTACCTTCAGTCTCCTGTTGACAAAACAAAATTAAAAAGCTAAGTGAAACCTTTTAATGCTGTGTGAAATTGTGCTTCAAATAACCGTGTCTCAATTTACAGGCTCCAGACAAACATAATATCACACCACTCCTATCAGCAGTCTATGAGGGCCATGTTTCCTGTGTGAAATTGCTTCTGTCAAAGGTGAGATACAAATGTTTAGAACAAGTTATGCATGAGTAAAGTGTATGGCAATGATTTTTTTTTTAGTAAGATAATGGTGCTCCAGATAAGTTCAGAATATCAAATACTGTTTATGTTGCTAAACCAGAGAGGGTACTCTGATTACGGAGAAGATAGTTGAAAGAGAAAGTTCCAGGACTTCTGCAGTGTGGCAGAAGTAATAGTGACCACTAAGAGAGTATTGTGAGCTCCAGCTAGAGAGCAATTAGCAGCAAATCAGTCCAGAAAAAATATGCATTCTTTCAGCAGACAGGGAGGAGTGGGATTTAGCTTTGGCAACTGCTTAAATGTTTGATGTGATGGAATCTCTACTGTGAAGTTGCTCAGAGGTGTGGTTTCCCTCTGCTTTTGCCAGATGACTGAAAACCCATCTGGGTTGGCAGGGTGAGAGGAAGTAGGAAGAAAAGCTTTCTCTGTTATAGAGCTTGGAAATTTTGTCCTGGGGAGAATAAGCTTAATCTGTTTCTGTTCTCCTTTTGATTCATATTACAAAGGTGATACATGTTACAAAGCAGTAGTTAATTCAAGCAATGTTTTGTCTCCAGTCACATGTGCTCCTTCTTGTTACACCTCACTTCGAAAAGAGGTTAACAGTGTATTTTCAGTATATGAACCCACTTAAATAATTTGGCCAAAGAATTTCATGCTGTGTAATGTTTTCGTATGCCACTTTAAGGTAAAATCGTTTTCCTTTAACTGCCTCAAAGCTGCATGAATTTCACTTTTCTTCACTTCTCTGATCCTGTCTAATGTTAATTATGCCTTCTTGTGAAGAAATGCCGTGACTGTTAATTTAGGATACAAATGGTGCATCTGACTGGCTTAAATTTTTGTGAGGACTGATCCTTTATACAGGATCGTTATATACATGTTACAAAAAAAAAAATACACTTTATGTCATGTTGTATTTCTTTCCGTTTCTGTTTTGAAGTGTTTTGCATTCTAAATAAGTTGCTTAATAAGTGAGGTGCCTCAAAACTCTGGAGTTCACACCTGAATTGTCTGGCAACGGGTAAGGGTTGTGCATGCATTGTAGTCTCTGTGAGCGAGGGCATGAAGGTCCTTCCTCAACCAGCTATTTTTCATGCAGCTTGTGAGAACGTATCCATCTCTGTACTTGGTACTATTTGAATGGTAATGTTGAAGTTCGGCAGTCCTAAAAATGAGACAATCTTACAAAGATGTACAGAATGTTATAGGAAAGTGAACTTGGACTAGGGGAAGATGTAAGAAAAATGTTGCTGCAACTGGATGGTTTGGGAAAATTTGTATTATTTTCAGACTTCTTCATGAAGGGCTGAATGTTGTACCAGATCTGCTTACTTCCATTCACATGGGCTAGCTGGTAACATGTTTATGAACTGGAACTTTGCTCATCAGCTCATTCTGTTTGAGGCAGATCTTATATTAAGAGTTTGTTCTTTCTCTTAATACAGTTATCTTATGACCCTTGTTTGAACATCTGTTGTCACACCTTGTTTGTAACATAGTCTGATTTCCTATGTTCTTTGACAGAGGATACCTGGGAGATCAAGTAGTTCAACCCTTATTGAAAGTTTAACTGACTGTTGAATGGTCTTCCTAGTTACTTTTGGAATGGGGTATATTTTATTGCTACTCCCAATGCAGGACAAATATTGAATATCTGATGTTAGTGTATGTACATAGTACAATTGCAAATGCAAGTGATGGGCCAATATATTTAAGATTTATCTTCCAAGCTGCTCTTTGCTGCTTTTGTAAAAACTACACTTCTGCTTGCTGCTAAGAAGCTTTGTTATTTTACATGTACCTGCTTTCAGCTCCCTGCATTTACCCTGTTAGTTGATCTCTTGCGTATGTGGCCTCTGTCATAGAATATCCCTTAAGCTGTTGGACTAGAAGTCAACAATCTCCTTAACATATTTCTAAACAGGAAAACAAAAATAATGAGGTTTTTTGTACTTTCGCAAGTTTTGAGAACCGATGAAGAGTGAGACATACCTCCTTAGTCTGTTTGCGTACCACAAATATAAAAAAGTTAGCAGTTCGGTCAAGTTAAAATTATGTAAGGAATAAGAGATTGATGATTGATGATCTCTTAACCTGCTAAGATTATATGTAATATAAATAATTCTTTTGGATTTGGAAATTGAGTTGTGTTCAACTAACATGCTGTACTACCTTCTATAGTATATGAATTGTGGGGATGTTTGTAAATGTTTTGTGTGAGACTTTAGAGCTATGGAGAGGAGGGCTATTCCAAGAAATGTTTCAGACATTAATCAGCCATAAAATGTGCCTTGATAAAAGTACTGACTATGAAAAAGGTTGGCTTAGTCAAGGTGACCTCCAGGATTTTTGTAAGCTTTCTGTTACTGTAGAAGATTGTTTCTTCTGACAGTAATAAGCTGGTTACTCTTTCATGTCGTGTGACTGCAGTGCATTCTTTAAACAGTCTTCCACTGGAAGCAGTAAAATCTTTAAAAGTATTTGGACACAATTCACTTTCAGAGGATAATAAATACATATAAATAGTAGAGAGACTGAGTCAAGATTCTAAGCTCTTAAACTGACTAGAACGATTACAGTGGCCCCTTGATCTTAAGCTGAAGTAGCCTGGCCTGCTGCAAACCTGTGCTTTCTGTTGTTGATACTGGTGATCATACAGTTGCCCAGTGAAACACAGACAAGCTGCTTCTGAGCTCATAGTGATAAGAGTTTACACTCAGAAGACCTTAACTTGAAAAGTGTGGGGGGATATGCGCTGGTTCTTACGGTTTAGTCTATGAGAGTTTTTAATGCACGTCACATGACTAGTACAAGTTACTGGAGATGATACTAATAGTTGAAACCATTACACCAACTGTTGTCCCTTAAAAAGCAGCAGTTTGTTTTATGGAATTTCAAATTCCTTTCAAGAAGGCTCTCCTACAATAAAGCACAGCTTATTACTCTTGGTATTCCTCAGAAAGGACTGTTTAGGGGTTCTTAGCTACTGCTTATCACACATGTCAGTTGAATGCTGTGTCTAAAATACAAATGGCTTTTTGGAATAGTGAAGGGTGGTGGTTTGTCTGGGAATCACTGGCAGCCTGTATGCAGCTGAACTGGTAGAATCATAGAACCATTTATGTTGGAAAATACCCTTAAGATCATCAAGTCCAACTGTGAAGTCCAGCACTGAACCGTGTCCCTAAGTGCAACCTCTACATGTCTTTTAAATACCTCCAGGGACGGTGACTCCGCCACTTCCCTGGGCAGCCTGTTCCAATGCTTGACAACCCTTTCAGTGAAGAATTTTCTCCAAATATCAAGTCTAAACTTCCCGTGATGCAACTTGAGGCCATTTCCTCTTGTCCTATAACTTTTTAGTTGTGAGAAGAGACTGACACCCACCTCAGTACAGCCACCTTTCAGGTAGCTGCAGAGAGCGATAAGGTCTTCCTTCAGACTTCTTTTGTCCAGACTGCACAACCCCAGTTCCCTCAGCCACAAGTCCTTATAGGACTGTTCTCTAGATCATTCACCAGCTGTATTGCTCTTCTTTGGACATGATCCAACACCTGTGGTGGCTTTACACAGATCTGAAATGTGGTGGAATATTTAAGGTCATAAAATGAAAGAGTTGAGGATTAGGATTTTTTTTTTTAGGCAGGTAGTTACGACATCTGGGCTAGAAAGCTTTTAAGAATAGGTTGAAATCTAGCTGATCCACTGGATGTGATGTGTCAAACTTTATCCTTCAAATACATTGGTCTATTACTGTTAAGTTGGGGGAGAAGTTCCAAGGTTACCATAGGGTACTAGGATGACTTGAAATAGTTCTAATGCTTTTGCTTATCACTGTTTTCAGCATAAGAGGTCACTGTAAAGAAAAATTAAAAATTAGTTCTTTCATTGGTCTGGAGATAAGATGCTCCAGAATGCCAGTGGAGATGGGCTCTGGCAGAAGGAATCGGCA